ATTCATTTAGTGACTGTTCAAACTTACAATGGCACTGAAAAAAGTGACTTATGACCATTTGTGACACTTACAACTGTTGCAGCATCCCCACAGTCACGAGAGGCCAGGCGAAGAGATGCGTGCCTCTATGTGAGTGATGTTGCGTTGGTCACACCCAGCCAGTCACATGACCACCAAGCCATCTCCACCCAGTCACATGACCATCAAGCCACGCTCACCAAATAAGCCACGCCCACAGAACCGGTTGTTAAAAAATTTGAATCCCACATTTTGTACTCAGAGCCCCATGTACGTGTCAAGCTGTGGTTTTCATTCCAATATGTTCCACGCAGAGGAAAAACACGATGGCCCGGAGCCGTTCAAAGGCTCCCGTCGTTGGGTTTGAGCAGTATCAAAATACAGGATATGGTGGCGAGAGTTTTTTTGTTTTTGTTTAAGGGAAAAGGGGAATGCAGAAAAGGGGAATTCCAGCAAAGGGGGAACGGCCTGGAAGCCGACACCAAAAGCTCCTGAGTCCTTGGGGTCCTTTCTGGAAATGCAAAACAGATTCGGGGGAGCTTTAACTGGGCTCTTTATCTCATGCAGGTAGTCCTCGACTTACAACCGCAAATGAGCCCAATGTTTCTGTTGTGAAGTGAGGCGTTTTTGAAGCGAGTTTTGCCCCATTTTACAACCTTTCTTGACAGAGTTGTTAAGTGAATCACTGCAGGTTTGTTAAGTTAGTAACACAGCGGTTGGGTGAATTACCACAATAGGATAGGAATAGGAATAGAGTAGAACAGAACAGAATAACAGAGTTGGAAGGGACCTTGGAGGTCTTCTAGTCCAACCCCCTGCCCAGGCAAGAAACCCTACACCACTTCAGACAAATGGTTATCCAACATCTTTTTAAAAACTTCCAGTGTTGGAGCATTCACAATTTCTGGAGGCAAGTTGTTCCACTGATTAATTGCACTAACTGTCAGGAAATTTCTCCTTAGTTCCACGTTGCTTCTCTCCTTGATTAGTTTCCACCCATGGATTCTTGTCCTGCCTTCAGGGGCTTTGGAAAATAAGTTGACACCCTGCCCCCTTCTTTGGAGCAGCCCCTCAAATACTGGAAGGCTGCTGTCCTGTCTCCCCTGGTCCTTCTTTTCATTAAACTAGTAGACGTATCCAGTTCCTGCAACCGCTCTTTATATGTTTTAGCCTCCAGTCCCCTAATCCTCTTTGCTGCTTCAAATTTTGAAACCAGATCATAAATCCCTTTTCGAGAGGTCACTGCAACTCCAGAGCAATCTGTTATCAGTTGAGGACCACCTGTAGGACTCAATCAACTTACAACAATACCGTACAACCCTACAACATACTGCTTTACAGGTAGTCCTCAAATTGCAACAGTGACTTTTAGCGACTTTTCACCCTAGTGAAAAAAGTGACTTGGACCATTTTTCAGTTTATGATCATTGCAGCATTCTGAGGTCATGTGATCAAAATTCAGAAGCTTGGCAACTTGTACTTATGACGGTCGCAGCGTCCCGGGATCACATGATCTCCTTTCGCAACTTCTGACAAGCAAAGTCAATGGGGAAACCAGATTCACTTAACAAACGGGTAACTGATTCACTTAACAATTGTAGCAAGAAAGCTCGTAAAATGGGGCAAAATTCCCTTAGCAACTCTTATTTAGCAACGGAAAGGTTGGGCTCAATTGTGGTCATAAGTCAAGGACTGCCTGTATTGAGGGTTGTGCCTGAGTTGCACTTAGTGAAAAGGATTTAACAAATAAAATTCCTTCCGCAATTCATAGCATTCTCATAAACATCCTGTGTGAGGAAGTTAAAACTTTGAAAAGATAAGAAAAGAAACCGATACAACCCAGAAAGATAGAAAGTGAAAAGGCAAAGAGGGAAAGAAAGAGATCAAAGGGAAAGGAAAAAGTACAAGAAAAGAAAAAAGTTGAAGAAAAAAATAGAAAGAAAAATTACAAATGATCGCTTTTCTCTGAAGTGAGTGGAACTTCCTTCAAACTTTTCCTTGGTTGCAGGTGGTCCTCGACTTACAATGGTAATTGAGCCTGGAATTATGATCGCTGTGGCTCAATTTTATGACATTTTGGCTGGGGTGGTTTATTTATTAAATTTTAATGCCAGTTGTTAGGCGTATGCCATAGTTGCTAAGTGAACGCTGTGGTCATTAAGCGAACACATTATTACCTAATGGGCTTTTTCTTTTTCTTTTTGGCTGCAAACCAGAAGTAAATGCCGGTTTCCCACCAATAAAAAGTTATAAATTGTGATCATGGGATAGTGGGACTCTGCAAACAACGGTAAATCTGGGCCAGTTACCAAGCACCCAAAATGTAATGCCACGATCCTGGGAAGGGTCACTGGAACTGTGAACCCAGGTCGAAAGTAGCACTGGTGAGGTCCAGTGTTACTCAGATTGATTGCTAAGCAACTGGTCATAAATTAAGGACTATTTATGCTATCCTCCCTTTTTTCCTTATAACTTTGCAAACCTTCTTGTCTTGCTATTACCTTGTTTTCTAAGCTGTGATGTTCCCGATCCTTCAGATCTTCTGTGTTTTGCATGAAAAGGTTTATTATCAGAGTTTATTACAATTTTAAGAGGAGATCTTGCTCCAGATTGGATGCATGATTTGGGCCATAAATCTCAGCTGCTACTGTCTCAGACAGATTGCCAAGGGGGGGGGGAAAAAATTGGCCGAAACAAAATTATTATGAGAAGTCTGCCCTCTGGTGGTCTTCCCAATGCATAGCAGCCCCTGAAATATCCTGTGTTAGGAATATTAAATATTCCTATTAAATATTATTAAATATTTGACTTACAACCACACTGAGCCCAAAGCCCAGTTGCCTCTTGAAAAAAGCACCTTTGGGACAACCACGACCTGGATGACTGAGAGTCTCCATAGACACCGAGCCCAAAATGTCTGTTGCTAAGTGAGACAGTGGTTAAGTGAATTTTGCCCTGTTCTACGACGTTCCTTGCCATGGTAGTTAAGTGAATCCCTGCAGCTGTTAAATTAGTCACGCGGTCCTTTGACAAATCCGGCTCCCCAATTGACTTTTCTTGTCAGAAGGTCGCAAAAATCACGTGACTCCGAGACGCTGCAACCGTCATAAATATGAGCTGGCTGCCAAACACCTTAATTTTGATAATGTGACCACGAGGGATTCTGCAACAGTTTTGGGGAGTAGGGGATATGGGTGTCATGTGATCACCTTTTGAAGCCTTTCTCAGCAAAATCAATGGGAGCAATTTTGGGGTTTGCTTAACGACCGTGAGTCCCACTTAACAACTGCAGTGATTCGCTTAACATCTATGGCAAAAAAAAAAGAAGAAAAAAGATGAGGTGAAACTCAGATGACCACCATCTTGCTTAACAATGGAAGCTTTATCCCCAGTTATGGAAGGCTACTGGTATTCCCTCTTGGCCTTCCCAGGCACCTGCGGGATTCGGCTCATTCCACGCCCATCTAACTGACCCTGCTGGGGTGTTTTTTTTTTGCATAGGAGTTTGGCTCATGCAGTGCAAGCTGCCTGGGAGTGCCAAGGGAAACCACCCAAACCATGAGAAAGCAAAAGTTAGAATATTTCGGGTGTGGGATGCGGCAGCGGGAAAAATACAGCATCCTTCGCTGAATCCTCCAGGGAAAGATGGAAGGCAAAGGAGGTCCAGGCAGAAGAAGGAGAATATCGTGGCCCCAGAATCGAAGGGACCAGTTTGGACAAAGCTCAACAGCCCTTTTTCCGTGCTGCTGTTGATCAAAATAGGATCGGCAACATGATCGGCCAACGTCTGATAATGGAAATGTCAGGAGGAGGAGGAGGAGGAGGAGGAGGAGGAGGAGGAGGAGGAGGAG